ATGGCCACCCAATGGTACAAACATTGTACCCTGAAGATGGTGTCATGTATCTGGATGATAATGCACCACTTCACACAGCAAAAATGGTGACAGAGTGGTTTGATGAACATGAAAGTGAAGTTGAACATCTATCATGGTCTGCACAGTCACCAGATCAGAATATTATTGAGCCACTTTGGGGTGTTTTGGAGGAACGAGTCAGGAAATTATTTCCTACACCAGCATCACATAGTGACCTGATCACGGATCTGCAAGAGGAACAGCTCAAACTCCCTCTGGCCATGTGCAGGACTTGTATCTGTCATTTCCAAGAGAAACTGATGCTGTATTTGCCACAAAAGGAGGCCCTACACCATACTAATAAATTACTGTGGTCTAAAATCAGGTGTTTCAGTTTCATTGCGCAGCCCCTGCATGTTTGTATGTTAAAGATTTCGAGACAGGACAGCTTTTACAGGATAAATATGTAGGGAACAAAAGCTCACCAAATCTAGAACAGAAAAGTGATACAAATGATTTGACACTGATATCCAGATTTTGCCAGAAGCTTCCCCAAAACAACTTGAGTAGTGCAAAGAAGTCTAAGACACAGAGAGCATAGAAAGCGAGTGCCCTACCACCCTCGTGTGGCAGAGTATTAGTGACACAGCTACAAGAGCCATTGATTTGATTCAAGCTGCAGTCGAATGCCACGTCCTCAGACACACTTCAGTCTTCAGCGCTTGAGGCATCCTGATTGCGTTCAAGAGGCTGCTTGCATTACTGCCTTTGTCCGCATATGTCAGCGTGTGTCTCTTTATCCCAGCAGCTCATCTGTAGCATGACCTGATCTTCCAAGGCACTCTGCTGTACCTTAAAGTGCAGTGCTATGTTGAAATTGTATTTTATAGATCCCTCCTTCTCCATGGGATACTCTCCACACCCAGAATATGTGCTCTCATTGATCTTGTTTGCCTATTGCTTAATGCACTTACATTAGCACCGAAATGCGTGAGTTTGTACCATGTAAAGCCGGGGTGCCCAACTCCAGTCCTGGAGTCCTGCACATTTTTGGGTTTCCCCTCATTTAACACACCTGATTCAACTCCTTGTGCTAATTACCACACAGCTCTTGAGCTGAATCATTTATGGAACAGAAAAAGAACTAAGCTACACAGGGCTCCGGCCCTCCAGGACTGGAGTTGGGCACCCCTGATGTAGAGGAATAATCCTTCATTCTTTTGCCACTGTTTTCATTGGTTGGTGTAGTGCATGGGGACTGATGTTTGGGTAAGTAGGTTATAATGCTGTGCCCATCATCAGAAGGTCATCAGTTCAAATCCTGTTGTCAGCCGAGTGGTTTCACTGTTGAGCCTTTGCTTCAAGGACTCGTTGATTCTGCTTTTTCAGGTGTATGTTGCTTTGAACAGAAGTAATGATAATGAACAACAAGAATGTAGCTTTTGGCCAGCTGTTATTTGGCCAGTAGAGGGAACTATTTCCTCATTCAATGACTAATTTACATATATGACCAGTTAACCTGATTTTATTATATTAAAAGAGAATTATATACATATATAATATGAACTGGTGTGTGTGTGTGCGCGCGCACGAGTGGGTTTACCTATCCTTATGGGGACATAATGTCCCCATAACGTGATAAATATCCATTTT